AAAGAGAATAGATATGAGGCTTAAGGTAGCCTTCATCTCCCTTCCTTGCCATCTTCCAGGTGGGTGTGGACTTCACCGGCTCCAATGGAGATCCCTCCTCACCTGACTCTTTGCACTACCTGAGTCCAACAGGGGTCAATGAGTACCTGACAGCGTTATGGAGTGTGGGCAGTGTGGTTCAGGACTATGACTCGTGAGTAACTGTTTCTCTAGCCACCCCAACTCCCTGCCAATGCTTCACCCTCTGGGCTAGTCTCCTAATTTCCTGTTCCCCAACTCACTGTCTTCCCACAGGGACAAGCTGTTTCCAGCATTTGGATTTGGGGCCCAAGTGCCCCCTGACTGGCAGGTGAGCTCTCTCTTCCTTTCCCCCACCTATTTTCAGTTTCAGAGTTCTGATTTTGGGGAATATATATAATGAACGTAATGTGCTGCCTGGTACCCAGCTTTAAGGGAGGATGCAAAGATGTATACTTGCATGTATACAACAAGTATCTAGGACCAAATAGCTTCTATAGAAATCTTGGCACATATCATAGATCCCTTTTTCTTAACAGAAAGGGGGTCATAAGAGAGGAACCTCACTTTTCATTCTTGCCCTCAGGTCTCGCATGAATTTGCCTTGAACTTCAACCCCAGTAACCCCTACTGTGCAGGTAACGTCCCCCAATCCCCTGTGTAAGGCATGTCTGTCCACACCTAGAAGGAAGAGCCTATATGGGCAGATAAGATTGTCCAGAGGAATAGATTTTTTTTTTTTTTAGAGGAATAGATTTTAAAGTTAGTTCTTTGGAATCAAATCTTCATCTTGCCACTTGCTAATCACGTGACTTTTGGGACAAGTTGCTTAGACTCTGTGTGCTTTGTTTTTGTAATAAGGCTAAATAAATATTGCAAGAGTAGTCAGGGAGAAAATACAAGTAAAGCAGTAAACTAGAAGTAGTAAGCCTGGCACGTAGTAAGTACTGTCTAAAAAATGGTAGCCATTGGGTCAGTAAGTGGTATGGAAGTTAAGGCATCTGGATCCCACATCTGCACAGTTGAGTCCTAGACCTGGCCACTCAAAAAACATGCCTGTCATGTGTGCGTGTGTGCCCAAAATCCCAGGAGGAGAGTGGAAGCGAAGGGATTGTGGTGTGGTCATCTTCAGGGTGGCGGTGGAGGGGGATTTCTCACTGTCCCTCTCTTTCTGTGTCTCTCTGGTGAGCACACGTGCCCTATAGCAAAAAACTAAAAAACAAACAAAAATGTAACTACATTTGCCTAAGAGCAACAGGTACTTACTCGGGTATCAGTATTAACATTGGTACCACCCTGCCAGGTGCTTTTTGCCAGAGCCCCCCAAGCCCTTTTGCCTAGGGCCAAATTTTGTTGCTCCACAGCACTCCTAGGTGAACAGCAAAGTGAAGTAGAAAATTTGATCTGACCTAGGTTTTTAAATTTTTCTTTAAACTTTTTTTTTTCGTTGTTGGGAGGGAGAAGTTTTTACTATACGGCAGTGCACTCACCAGAAAGAAAGACAAAGAGACAGAAAGCAAGAAATCACCTCCCAGGGGGTATGGCCACGCCACAATCCCTTCTCCTCCATTCTTCTCTCGGGATCTTGGGCACGCACACACACGCACCCGGCGTGAGTTTTAAGCCACCAGGTCTGGAACTCAAACAGTGATCAACTACATGGGAGTCCAGCGATGTAGCCATTAGGCCATCTGCTGTTCCCATAAACTTTGTATTTTGAAACAAATTCAGACTCAGAGGAAAATGGCAAGAATAGTCATGGGAAAGAGATCATTGGCACTCAAGTGTTAGGGCCTGAGTCATATGGACTGCTATTTATCTTTACCCAGATTATAACCCAAACAATAACTTTTTTTTTTTTGAGAGAGAGATTTTCGCTATAGGGCGCGTGCACTCGCCAGACAGACAGAGAGAGACATAGAGACAGAAAGCGAGAAATCACCCCCCAGGGGGGATGGTCACGCCGCAATCCCTTCTCCTCCATTCTCCTCTCGGGATCTTGGGCACGCACACACACGCACCCGGCGTGAGTTTTAAGCCACCGGGTCCAGGATGCGAACCGCGGTCGACTACGTGGGAGTCCAGCGGCATAGCCATTACTCTAACTGCTGGTTCCCCAAACAATAACATTTTAAAAAATTATTTATTTAATTCCATTTGTTGTGTTATATTTTAATTTGACTAGAGAGAGACAGAGAAAGAAAGGGAAAATGAGAAAACAAGCTGTCAGGTCTGGAACTTGAACCATGGTCAGCCATGTAGGAATCCAGCACCTTTAAGCACCACTCCACCTGCTGGCCCTTCGTTTTTGTGTGTGTGTGTGTATGTGTGTGTGTGTGTGTGTGTGTGTGTTTCTTTTTCTTTTTCTTTTTCCTTTTTTTTTTAAGAGGTTTTCACTACAGGGCGTGTGTGCTCGCCAGACAGACAAAGACAGAGAGACAGAAAGCAAGAAATCACCCCCCAGGGGGGATGGCCACGTCGCAATCCCTTCTCTTCCATTCTCCTCTCGGGATCTTGGGCACGCACAAACACACGCCCGGTGTGAGTTTTAAGCCACCAGGTCCAGGACACAAACCACGGTCGACTACGTGGGAGTCCAGCGATATAGCCATTACATTAAATGCTGGTCTCTGGCCCTTCGTTTTAATTCGTTTCTTTTTCCCCTGAAATGTTTGAACATGTTGTAGTAAATAGCCCTACCTCAAGTGCCCCTGTGACCCCCACTGACTTTTTGTACTTATATCATCATCTACATGGCCGTTTATCCCCTATAAATACTAAGATGTGTGTTTCCTAAAATCATGGATATTCTCTTATATAAGCACAGTACAGTTGTCAGAATTAGGAAATTAGCATCAGTAGAATACTATTATCCAGTCTACAGTATTTATTTGGATTTTTTCAATTGTCCTAATGTCTTTTATAGCAAAAGAAATTTCTTAAGGGACCAGCAGGTGTTGTAATAGTTATGTCACTGGATTCTCACATAGTTAACCATAATTTGAGTCCCAGACCCAGCAACTTGAAATTCATGCCAGGCGCATGTGCCTGTGTGCCCAAAATCCCGACAGGAGAATGGAGAAGGAGTTGTGGCATGGCCATCCTCCCGGGCAGAGATTTTTTTACTTTCTATATCTCTGTCTCTCATTCTCTCTCCAGAGAGTGTACGTGCCTTACAGCAAAAATCTCTCTCTCAAAAAAAAAAAAAAAATCTCAGATCACACATTGTATTCAATTGTCATATCTTTTTATCTGGAAGAGTTCACACCTTTCATTGATTGATTGATTCTTTTTTTTTTTTTTTTTTTTTTTTTTTTGAGAGAGAGATTATTGCTACAACACACACGTGCTCACCAGAAAGACAGGGAGACAGAGAGACAGAAAGTGAGAAATCAGCCCCCCGGGGGGATGGCCACACCGCAGTCCCTTCCTTTTCTCCATTCTCTTCCTGTGATCTTGGGCATGCATGCACACACACCTGTCATGAGTTTAAGCCACCAGGTCCAGGACTCGAACCATGGTCCACTACATGGGAGTCCAGCGACACAGCCATTATGCTAACTGCTGGTCCCTGAGCCGGGTAGTTTTTATTTTTTATTTTTATTTATTTTATTTGTTTATTTTTGAGAAGTTTTTGCTCTAGGGCGCGTGCGGTCGCCAGAGACAGACAGAGAGACAGGAAGCTAGAAATCACCCCTGGGGCGATGGCCACGCCGCAATCCCTTCTCCCCCATACTCCTCTCAGGATCTTGGGCACGCACGGACATGTGCCCAGCGTGAGTTTTAAGCCACCAGGTCTGGGACTCGAACCGCAGTCGACTACGTGGGAGTCCAGCGACATAGCCATTACGCTAACTGCTGGTCCCGTGCCAGGTAATTTTTAGCTGTCTCTCAGTTTGGGTTTACCTGGGATAGCCTCAGGATTAGATTTAGATTAAACATTGTTGGCAGGAATTACCACTAAGGTGAGTGGAAATTTTCCACTTGTACCCTTATATTGGCTCTCAAGAAGTTTTGTATTTGGGAATATTTCAGATTTTTGAATTAGGAATGTTCAACCTGCTTTTCCCTTTGTAATTGACAAATATTTTTTGTGAAGATACTTTAAAGCTATACATATACCAAATTACTCAATAATTTTCACCCTTTAGTTGTTATATCCATTGTTAATCCATGCACGAATCAGTTATTTTTTTAAGAATTAATTTTATTTATCAACATTATTTTTTAAATGTTTCAAAAGAATTATTTAATTTTACTATTAGTTTTTGTTTGTTTGTTTGCGGGGGGAGAGGTTTTTGCTATAGGGCACATGTGCTCACCAGAAAGACAGAGAGAGAGAGACAGAAAGCGAGAAATCACACCCCCCTGGGGGGGGGGCCACACCACAAACCCTTCTCCATTCTCCTCTCGGGATCTTGGGCACGCACGTATACGCACCCAGCATGAGTTTAAGCCACTGGGTCCAGGACTCGAACCATAGTCAACTACATGGATGTCCAGCGACATAGCCATTACGCTAACTGCTGGTCCCACCATTAGTTTTAAATTTTTGCTACAGGGCAGGTGCATGTGCAAGAGAGAGAAAGTTAGAAAGCAAGCTGCCAGGTCTAGGACCTAAACCGTGGTTGGCCATGTGGGAATGCAGTGGCTTAAACATCACACCACCTGCTAGACCCATTAATTAAAAAATTTTGATTCAAGGTACACGTGTTCATCAGAGTGAGATGGAGAGAAAGAAAGAGAGGGCAAGCCTCCAGTTCTGGGACTCAAACTGTGGTTAGTTATGTGGGAGTCTAACACTTTAATACCATGCCACCCGCTGGTCCTGGGTCAGTTATATCTATGATGGTCAAATGATTTTGTAATTTCTTCTTTTATATGTACATTTCCTTCCCCCGTAATTATTTAATATCTGTATGTATTTTTATTAAGTGGATTATAATTCTTTTTTTGGAGAGGTTTTTGCTCTAGGGTACATGCGCTCGCCAGACAGACAGAGAGACAGAAAGCGAGAAATCACCCCCCAGGGGGGATGGCCACGCCGCAATCCCTTCTCCTCCATTCTCTCGGGATCTTGGGCACGCACGCACATGCACCCGGTGTGAGTTTTAAGCCACTGGGTCTGGGACGTGAACCGCAGTCGACTACATGGGAGTTCAGTGACATAGCCATTATGCTAACTGCTGGTCCCTATAATTCATTATTTTGATAAGTAGGTTATAATCTGATGCTTACATTGTTCTAGATTTTTCCTGGGGAATCCCCCTGAGTTTCAATTAAAACTGTGATTTAGGGAAAATCCTTTCTTCTCTTTGAGCCTTAGTTTCCTCATTTTAGGATCAAGTATCTTGGGTTACAGAAATGAACTGGCATATAACCAGGTTCCTAATCCCCTGGGCCACAATGAGTTGATTCCAGATGGTCTAGTCCTGAGTGGTCTGGGACTCGACAGTGTTGTTTGCCCTCCTTCTCTGCAGGCATCCAGGGCATTGTGGATGCCTACCGCCAAGCCCTGCCTCAAGTTCGTCTGTATGGCCCTACCAACTTTGCACCCATTATCAACCACGTGGCCAGGTTTGCTGCCCAGGCTGCACATCAAAGGACTGCTTCAGTGAGTGTCATGGGCACTAGTGGCAATGGGGTGGTCAAGGGCTTCTTGTCAGTGTAGGAATGTGTGACTGAGATGTTGGAGAGGGTTGGATCTTTCTCAGTACATAAACAGGCTTCTCTCCAGCAATACTTCGTGCTGTTGCTGCTCACTGATGGGGCCGTGACAGATGTGGAGGCAACACGTGAGGCTGTGGTTCGTGCCTCAAACCTGCCCATGTCAGTGATCATCGTGGGTGTGGGCGGTGCCGACTTCGAGGCCATGGAGCAACTGGATGCTGATGGAGGACCTCTGCGTACACGCTCTGGAGAGGCAGCTGTCCGTGACATAGTGCAGTTTGTGCCCTATCGCCGATTCCAGAATGTGAGTGAGGGGAGATTTGGGGACTGACCAGATACGGTAGTTAACCCTTCCACCTCCCCCTTCTGTGAGTGGGGTTGTGGCACGGAGGATATTCACCCTTTCATTTAAGTCCGGAGCAGGCTTGGGTGTTGAGTTTTGTATCCTTTCTTGGATGTGAAATGTAGACTTTGGGCAGCTATTCTGGGCCACCAGTAACCTTGGCCTTCTCTTGGCAGGCCCCTCGGGAGGCATTGGCGCAGACTGTGCTTGCTGAAGTGCCTGCACAACTGGTCTCCTACTTCAAGGCTCAGGGTTGGGCCCCATCAAAGCCACTTCCACTCCCTGCCAAGGGTCCTGCACAGACTCCCCAGGCCTAGGTTCCCTTGCAGGCCAGTCCTTAGCCCTTCATCCCCAAGGTCCCTCTGGGCCACAGCCCAACCTTGCACACTCCCCAGTGCTAGCACTTTATATTTGATACTTTTATACTTGCTTCTGCTTGAACCCACCTGCTTAACCCCTGACACACCTCTTTCAATAAAGACCAGTGAAGATCATGATTTTGCCACCACTCTTTGTGTTTTGGGGTGGGATGGTGTTATTAACCATGTTTACTTCTGTGCTTCAGTTTGTTGACCTTAGGGTTTTTTATGTGGAAGGGTACCTCTAGTGTAATAACCCCATTCAAAGAAGTTGAGTGTTCCTTTCTAGAGAAAATGACTACTTTTTGAAAATACAAAGTTCACATGTAAGCCAAGTCAGTCAGGTACTCTGCTTTCTTCTTTTGGTGCAGAGGTGAACTGGCAGCACAGACAAGATGAAAATTGCTATAGGTCTCAGGAAGACACAAGGGAAGAGTTTTAAGGTGGAGCAAGGGCTGAATTAAACCCTTCTGGATGAGGAAGCAGTGGTAGTTGTGGTCCTAAAAAATAGGCTACAGTCCTGAAATTTTTTAAAATTAAATTTTCATTTATTCATTTATTTTATTTTTTATTTTATTTAACTTTATTATTATTATCATCATTATTTTCCAGTTTGATCAGAGAGAGAGAGTTAGAAAGCAAGCCTCCAGGTCTGGGACTTGAACTGTGGTCAGCCATATGGGAGTCCAGCACCTTTAACCACCATGCCACCTGCCAGCTCCTATTCATTTATTTTAATTTGACCAGAGAGAGAGGGAAAGCGAGAAAGCAAACCACCAGGTGTGGGATTTGAACTGTGGTTGGCCATGTGGGAGTGGTCCATCACCTTAACCACTACACCACCTGCTGGTCCCCAGTCCAGAATTTTTTTTTGATAGATTTTTTCTTATTAGAAAATTCATAATATCCAGTGTAAGACAATGTAAAGCTATCATAATCAGGCTAATAATATGGCTAAGAGATAGACATACAAATCACGTAATGGAATAGAAAATCCAGATATAGACCCAGAGGAATATAGCCAATAGGTTTTTGACAAAGATGCAAGTGCAGTTTAGTGAAGAAAGGGTAGTCTTTTTAAGAAATGGGTCAAAACAATTAGACATCCACATGAGAAGAAAAAGCCTTGTTCTAAATGTCATCTTTTATACAAAAATTAACTCAAAATAGGGACCAGCTGTTGGCATAATGGCTATGTCGCTGAATTCCCATGTAGTCGACTGCAGTTCAGATCCTTGACTCGATGGCTTAAACTCACGCCAGGTGCGTGTGCATGCGTGTCCAAGATCCTGAGAGGAGAATGGAGAAGGGATTGCGGCGTGGCCATCCCCCCTAGGGGGTGATTTCTCATTTTCTATCTCTCTGTCTCTCTCTTTCTGGCGAACGCATAAGCCCTTCTCCTCCATTCTCCTCTAGGGATATTGGGTATGCACGCACACGCGCCCGGCGTTTTAAACCACCAGGTCCGGGACGCGAACCACAGTCAACTATGTGGGACTCCAGCGACATAGCCATTACGCTAACTGCTGGTTCCCAACAAAATGATTCTTTAAAAAAATTTTAAGGGGTTTTTGCCTTAGGACGCAGGCACTCGCTCACTCGCTCAAGACAGAGCCAATGAGAGGGAAAGTGAAAAATCATCCCCCAGGGAGAATGGCCAGTGATATTCCCTTCTCCATTTTCTTCCTGGGATCTTGGGTAGTCACCTAAGGTTTTCAAATCACCAGGTCTGGGATTTG